CTCCTCATTATCTCTGGTATTATCGGTAATTATTCCCATTATCGTCGAGCGCCATTCGCTCGCCGTGCTCTGTGGATTCTCAACCTGACAAAACAATTCTGCCAACCACAAATGCATGGTGGGACGGTATTATCAGGGCTCGTGATTTGTTTCCATCTGACGAGAGGAACAATCGAGAAACTGTTATCACTGTGTATAGACGCCAGCAATACGATTATCAATGGCGTCTCGGTTAGTGCGCAGACACAAATTTGCTTAGAACGGAAGACAGTGGTTACGTTTGTCTATAGGGTACTTAACTTGTTAATCTTATACCTACGACAATTAGTAAATCTGCTTTACCGACAGTGGGTAAAGCGTGATAAATTATTTTTCGTACCCAATGACGTGGGTCATTAACTTTATCCTGTTCTTCTAGAAAGTTTCGAGTGTAAGAACTAGACCAATATGGTGGATCCACAGTATTACATAAGATATATATATATATATGAATGAGAAATATACGGAGTTGCCGTGATAGAAAAACACGAAGCAATGTTATTAAATTTGACTTCCTTTCATAGAATCTTCCTCCCTATTTCGCGTCTTATGAAATAGGTATATTTAATAAAAAAGTTAACGTTTACTCCAGGGCGTTTGTTTTTATTATTTTCCTCGGTCTTATTTTTTCCGGAGAATTTTGCCTCGGGATCCCCGATGAGGCGCTCGTGAACTGCCACCTGGCGTCAATCGAATAAACAAAATTTTTACCCAGACGTTCTCTTTGCGATGTAATCTTGTCGCGTTTCGTAAAGTTTTTTTTTTCCTTCGTCTCATTACCCACCCCCGTTTCAGTGATTGACGGTAACGGAGTACCGTAGACGGAGTACCGTAGTGGAAGGAGATGAGCAAAGTAAAAAGAACGCGCAAGATATTACCTGATAATTGAAAAAACACGACAGACTTCATAAACGTTGTTGAGTTATCGTGTTATCACTGCGCCACGAGTTCGATAATAAAATATATGTTTATTTCCCTTATAATTCTTCTAGACCCAAAAAAAAATTCCATTCAAACGTTTTAAGAATCCGAATCACACGAATGTCCATAATTCAACGGAACCCTCTTGATATGAGTTTTCGAAACAGGCGAAGAAGAAAAAAAAAAGAAAATCCTCGGAAGCTACATCCATTTTACACGCAATTTCGACAAGGTTCCCACGAGATTACCGTACAGCCGCGCGCCTACGGAACAGAGTGTAATGGAAAAGGGGAGTTGCAAATGGCCGATGAAAATATAGGTCGAGTACTGACGGCTGGGAACTCCAAGAAATATACCCGGAAAGCTTGAAATTATTTTTCAAAATTGTTCACCGATCCGACTTGACATCGGTAAATCGCAGCCAATCAAAGAGCCAACGTGCACGTATATCCTTTTGCAGAATCGACTGATTCACACAAAGCTCGACCTGGTTCAATTTCGAAAAATATTTCTGAGGCCATTAATTACGTAATTCTTTTAACGATAATATTTATTTTTCTTTAAACCTCTTGATCGTCACGGAACTACGGGTCTTAATGTAAACCCTCGTCGACGTGTCACACGCAGTAACACAGCCACTCTGTCTTATCAGTAACCTCTCGCTAATATCCACGTTGACGAAACTTGAAAACGGCTTGCCTCGCAGCCAGTTTTCGTCGACGTAACGACTTCAAGGGTTGGGAGGTTTAGAAGGCAGTTAGAAGTAGTACGCCAAGCAGTTTCAGATTGTTGCCGAGATACAGTAGTAACCCCCCCCCCCTCTTCCCCACCCACTCTACAGTCAGACTTACAACTGAACACATAGTTAGCATGCTAAGCGGGATTACACCGTATTATTCGAGTTTAAATCTCATAACGCTGCCACGCTGCTGACTGTAGGTACTCGAATGCGCAACGAACATGCTACACGCTGTAGCTGATATCCAAGTACGTAATTGCATATAGTACAGCATACCAATAACGATAACAATAATGCGCCTCATGCGGCCATTAAAAAGCCCTCACGAACTTTAAAATCCATTTGGCTCGAGACCTGCGAACAAACGTATATTAGAATTCATCACTTGCCCTACTGTATAATCTGAATTGGCTTTCATCTAGAGCCTGATTATTTAAACCTAACGTACAAAGGTATATGCGCGCTCTGGCGGCGAAACAAGTAACTAGCTTACCTTTAACATACACACAAGGTAGATACCCTGGCACTTGGCCCTCTAGAGATGACGTTAGGCTACATGGGAATCAAGATGAAGAGGATGGTTGGTGACGTCACTATTGCTTTTCCAACCCGTCAGTATTAATACGTCATATTTTGACTGCGACGTGCGTTAAATTATACCTGCGTCGACAAAACGTATTTTTGTTGTTGACGGTGTGTGTAAGTAACAGGAGAAGATATTGTCACGTGAACCGGGACGGGATAGATTTCCCTCGAGGAATGGTCCGGAGGACGGTGGCGCCGTTGAGCGAAATATAATTATCCGAAATGAAGATGATGTCCCTTTTTTTGCCCTCTGGTTGAATATTTTTTTTTTTAATATATTTTCCAGTTCGTAAAATGTAAAGCAGTCCTGGAATATGTAAATGTTAGGATAATTAAGGATTCCGAATAATTTTTTTTTGGGCGGAGGGACAGAGACCTCTCGCGAGGAAAAATAACGAAAGCAAAGCGGAGCACCAAAACAGAACGTGTCGAGCCAACGCTTTGGAGATTTTCAAATTTATGAAATTCAATTGACGAGTTATAAAAGTTTTGCCGAGCTGGTAACAACCGTACAAGTACACGGAATTCGTTTGGTTCTCTCACACATTTTCGAGTCACCTCGTTTTCCTTTCATTTGTCTTTTACTCGGCGTGACGGCTGCAGACGGTCTCCTTATCGTGTTTCGAACGTATTTATAAAATTGGCGCCAGAATGAATCCAAAGTTCAACGTTGGTCGTCCTACCGAACAAAGGAAGGTACAATTTCGCATCGAGTTGCAAACTCCTTTTCTCTTGAATTTCGAATTGTTCTCTGAAACTTGGCTAATTTGCAAATTTGACGCTGGTTGCAAGTCGAGGTAAAAAATATATCACGACTTTCGACCGACCGACATCGTCGTCTCTTATATTGACCGATATTAAAATATAAAACGAATAGCCGAGCCCGTAATTTCCCCAAGATATTGTCAGATCCCATCCTGCTTGATCCAAAAAAAAATCTATTAAATCCATATCGACCGAAAGGGATCTTATACGAATATCCAGGATGCGGATCTTTTACCATCCATGATCATGCCGTAGGACGCTGCTTTATGAATATGTAAAGTCCGTTCTGTCTAGGATACAAAATTGTTTGCGCGTCACTTCAAATATTGATACTGTCTTCCAGAAAATTTATTCACCGGAAAAATAATTTACCATCCC